AATATCTTGGAAGGCATTAGTGATTTGCTTTTTATCTTATTTGTTTTGCTTTGAAAGATATTGATATCTTGAAAAACAGGTATCAGGAAAATAATAGATACTAGGTGATATTTCGTGCATGCGAGATGAAATTTATATATTAATAATCATTGAATATTAATTTTGATAGTTCAACCATTATATCATAACTTCGACCGTCAACAAAAAACTGATAAGTAGAGTAATGTTTGTTGATTTTTTTTTTAAAAAATTATTTAAGTACATTGGATTTCAATAGTATCATCCGGATGTTAAAATTCACTATCTCATTTTGATATGAAAAATTGTATTTTCATATTTATACGAATTTATGATCATTTGTATTTTGTTATAATAAAATGTTAAATCATTGATCATAAAATTTCAATGTTGACTTTTAACAATTTTAGTAATTTATAATCGTTTAAAAATTCAAAATATAGCATAGAAGAAAAAAAAAATCTGAATTTGTTATTATATTATTAATATGATTATTTAATTTATTTTAATAATATAAAAATTTAAAAAAATATGGAGGATAGAAAATTGTTATCAAATCTTTATTATTCAAAATCATTAATTGTCATATATTTAACCATATTAGACAATTCTGTAGCTTTTATTTGAGGAAATCATGGAAAATATTCTTTTATACACTATCAATTAATTGCATAATTAGTTTAATAAAAAGTATAATATATATTGAGATGAGCCAACTTATTTTTCTAGATATTCTAAGAATCAACGTAGTGATAACACGTGGATACCAAAATATGTTGTAATGCTCAAAGATTAATATATAAGAGATTTTTGGATATCTATGAATATTTACGGATATTTACAAATACTTATGGATATCTCATCTGTTTTGATAAATACAAAATATTTTAAAAATTTGATACAATTTTTTCGTAAAATATCTTTTTGCATGATATATAAAAAACAAAAAAAGAAAGTAGTGAATCTACATATTTTGGAAAACTTTTAAACTTAGTCAAGAATTATTATAACATAAAACTTAAGAACAAATTATAATTATCATAATTTTTTTCTCTTTTTTATGTAATATTTTTAGGATAAATGAACTATTTCCTCTAATAAGTATCATATAGTAATAGTTTCCCATGAAGTTTCACCTTCATCCTAATTTCACATCTATTGAATTTAAAAACATATATCCCTACAGTTTGAAAGTTTCAAAGATATTTATACATGATCTTTAAATTTAAACTCAATCCCACATAAACCATAATTATCATAAGTTTTTTCTCTTCTTTTTATGTAATATTCTTAGGATAAATGACTTATTTCCTCTAATAAGTATCATATAGTAATAGTTTCACACGACGTTTCACCTTCATCCTAATTTCACATCTGTTGAATTTAAAAACATATATTCCTACAGTTTGAAAGTTTCAAACATAATTATACATGATCTTTGAATTTAAACTCAATCCCACATAAACCATAATTAAATCTGGTTTAGAGTTTATCGAAAAGTTTATAACCAATTATAAATGAAACTAAACCAAATTTTGATCCATTTTCAATATGTAAACCAAAATTACATAAAACCAAAATCTAAACCAAAACAAAACTTCAATCTCTAATATTACTCTTCATCTTCCCCGATTACTTTCTTCTTCAACTAAGATCATATCCAAAAGAAAATCTACAACTTCAAATATAGAGTATTTTGATCTTCAAAGAGAAATTTCAAAATTGAAGTTTTGAAGGATTGACTTTCCGTTCTTGATGCTTGGTCTTTTCGTTTGAATTCGACCGAATCTGGTTCCAGCAAAAAGTTCTGGTGATCTCTTGTTAAGTTTGTTCTGTGTGCCTCTCCATCTTATTTTTCTAAATACCAGAGACTACAATTTTGTTTCTCTCTGCCACTTGTTTGCTTTAAAATTAGGGAAATTGGACTCTATAACCACACAAAAAAAATTAATTCACTATCTGACTATTTTCCCTAACGGATCTATAGACGTCGTTAATTTTACATAATAATTCAGTTTTACCCTTTCTCTCTACCGATTAAACCTGCAGGCACACAAATATTTTGATTTTATTTAGTAGGCATAAAAGTGTAAAACGTGTCTTATCTTCCTCCACATTTTATTTACTTATTTTGTTACCTGCGTAGTAGTTGAAAAATTACCGTCAAAGAGTTGAGAAGTCCGTCGCATCCGCCTGCTTCTCTTCCGTTTATGATATCTCCGTCATTGTTTTACCCTAACGGATCTATTTCTTTGCACTTCCACTTGTAATCTGCTTCTTAAATTAGTTCATAGTCGACGGTGTTAACCCCCCCCCAGTAGCACCTCCCAATAACCCAAGTCTATTCCACTTCAAACAGTTTTTTTTTTTTTGTTGATTTGGTATCTTGACTCTGAAATTTCATTAACGGTGTGCTTTGTGCTTCGACGTTGAGCCTTTTTTTGATGTGTGGTACTATACTATCTCATCTTTGAATAGTCCATTCTATTTTGTGTATTTGCTATCTTCCAACTATTTTTCTAGAATAGTGTATGTGTTTGCTCATCTTTCTATAATGGTTCCATACTATGTATATTACGGTACAATATATTTGTGCATATTATATAAATTCTATTTGGGTTTATAGATCACTGATTAGTGTTTAGATTTTGTAAATCGGATATTTTCTGGGTGTTTAGTATTTACATAATAACAATTAATAGAAATGGAGTAAACTGCTCTTCTATACTATTTATAGAGGTTCCATACTATGTATAACACAATACAAAAAATATGCAGCATTTGATATAAATTCTATTTGGGTTTATATATCACTAGTTAGGGTTTAGATTTTGTAAGTGGGAGATTTTCTGGTTTTTAAGTATTTACATAATAACAATTAATAGAAATAGACTAAACTGTCCTTCTATACTATTTATAGAAGTTCCATACTATGTTTAGCACTGTATGAAAAATATGGAACATATGATATAGATTCTATTTGGGTTTATATATCAGTAATAGGGTTTAGATTTAGTAAGTAGAGGTTTATTTTGGCCTTTAGTATTTAACGTAATAACAACTTATGAAATGGAATAAACTACCATTTCTGTAATATTTAAAAAGTTTCCATATATGTCTAGTACAATATGAAAAATTTGCATCGTATTATATCAATTTTATTTAGGTTTATAGATTAGTGATTAAGGTTTTTATTTATTAATTAGGATTTATAATTTAGGCATTCGTGTGAAATTAGGTTATGGTCTAGTATATAAGGATTGGGGTTGTATGTGGAGTTATAATATTATACTATTTTGGTGGTATAAAATAGAACAGTATATGGTATATGTATGTGATCAATAAAGTTATACGTGGACGGTTTAACTTTCTTCCGTTTTTTGGTTACATTTACATGGTACCTATAAAGACAAAGGATAAAACCGGACACTTAGTGACATAAATGTTGGAAACTACATTATGTCAAAATCAATGGCATTTACCTAATTTGTTGTTGAAATATGGCTAGTTAGCCAATAAACCCTTAAAATTATATGACTCATGGAAAGTGGAGAGAAGATAAAGAATAATGATTGATAAATCAAAAGTGGGATAGATGAAAGAGAAGATAGTGAATTTTGTTACTCTTCGCAGAGATGAGAGAAAGAGATTTAGTAGAGATGATGAGAAGACCTCGATTTTTTTTTACACATCACAAAGAGGGAAGAGACAGATTGGGTCAGGTTTATTGTCTATCTGGTTAATCTACATATCATATTAAAGCTGGGTCAAGTTTTAATTTGGTTTAGTGTTTGTTATAACTGATTTGATATCATGGTTTTGTTCTAAACCGTTAAAACCATAATTACGTGTAAAGATGTTTCGAACTTTCAAATTGTGGGGATATATGTTTTTAAATTCAATCGATGTGCAATCAGGATGAATGTGAAACATTGTATGAAACTGTTACTATATGATACTTTTAAGGGGGGGGGGGAATAGGTCATTTTTTATATTTTTATATAAGTAATAATGTGAATAGAATTTGTCAAATCATATGTTAGAATAGTAATTATAAAATTTTATACATTTAACACTTTAAATATAATCAAAATATATATAGATTTATATATTGTCGGATTGGAGTGGATATCCGCTTCCTAAAATTTTCATATTTATGATTTGCTTTGATTTTAAGGGATATTGATTTTTAGTATTTGCTTTGCTTCAGAAGTTTACGGATATCCGAAATTTTTAGATCGAATCGAGAAGAATAACGAATCGAATCAAATGTAATAAAATGCCTACTTCTACAGTAGAGCGCTTAAATCAAGACAGTGAAGGACCCCGAAATTAGGGCTAGGCATTTTATATTTGATTTAATTTGTTATTCGTTCGAACTGATCCAAAATTTGAAGATATGCGTCAACTTTCGAGACAAAGCAAATACTAAAAATCAATATCTGTTAAAATCAAAACAAATCACAAATATTTAAATTTTGGAAAGTGGATATCTGTTCTGACCGACAATATATAAATACATGTCTATTTGGATTATATTTAGAGTTTTAAATGTATAAATTTATATAATTATTATTCTAACATGTTTTATAAATTATGTTCACATTATTACTTATATAAAAATATTACATTAAAAAGAAGAGAACAAATTTATGACAATTATAACTTTTTCTTAAGTCTGTGTTATTATAATTATTAACTAAGTTTAAAATTTACAAAATATGTAATTTCACTACTTTTAATTTTTATTTTATATATCTTGTAAAACACCTATTTTTAAAACAATTTTATATCAATTTTTAGGATTATTTGCATTAATCAAAACATATGAGATATCCGTAAGTATTTGTAAATATCTAAAAATATCTATTTATTTTTTGAATATCCGGTTTTCCGGATATCCATATTTATTTGAAACAAAGCAAATTGGAAAATTAGATATCCATAACATACAAAACAAATCATCCTTTCAAAAATTGGATATTCGATCCGTAACCAACCTGCCCCAAATATCTTCATGTAGGCCCATTGGCCCAACATTTTAATCTGTATTTGTACTTTGTCCTCCCAGATTTTGAGTTTTTGGTGTCAGAGATTACATTTGGCTTTGAGAAGCACCCATTGTAATTTTCACAGAAAAAATATGTTCCGGATTGAGATTTATGCAAAAAGAAAAGAAAAGAAAAGAAAAACAAATCAAACATCTGCTGACTATGATGGTCAATACAAGACAGAACTATGACAAAGAGAAAGGAGAGGCGAAGTGTGAAAAAATGAGAATGTGTGCAAAAAATACAAATCAAAACATGAGGTGGCTATGTTGGCCAATACAAAGACATAACTATATGATTAAAAAGTGTGTGATTAAGCGGTAATAATACCGGCTAAAACATCACTCTTCCCTCTTGCATAAATTGTGTACACTAATCGTATCGCATCCAGCCACCCATCCAACGACTCCCATGAATCTGCTACCTGTTTTTTTTAATGCCAAATTTCATTCATTCCAGGCTTAAAAAGCTTCTTAAATGGTAATATAAATATGTAGTGAGGCGCTTACCAAGTAAACTGGGCCATGAACGGTATCAATGCAGAGACCAGCACCAGGAGGCAGAGTCAGATCAGCACATGGCGTCACTGACACTATCTCTGCTATGTTCACTTTCACCGTCTTCTTCTCCACATTTGCCTCTGCTTTTCCAGACAGGTTTCCCCCCATTTCTCGTGCTTCAGGTTTCACTACCTACACCATGCCAGGTAGTGGGGTTAGTGTACTGATCTTTTTTAGAAATCTCTCTACAAACTCTATCCATCACAATGAGAGAGAGTACCTGAAGAAGCTTCTCATGATTGAGTTCAAACTCCGTACGTTTCCAATCACTGTGAGGTGCGAGTGAGTTTCCCACAGGTGGCGCCGTTAGATATCCAACCTTAAGATGCGGTAGAGGTAGCTGCCAACATATATTTACTTATTATATTGGTCACTTTGCCATAAATAAATGATTGTGTCAAGTGAAGTGATGGGTCATCGAAAAGGTACCATGGAACGAACGAGCCTCAATGCGCTACTGTAAACCTGGACCAGGAAAAAAAGGATAATCAGCCTAACCCTCAGGACTTGAATATAGGCCTGGCACTAATACACCTTTGATTCTAGCAAAACGTTGGAGATCATAGGCTTACCGAATAACTTGGCTTCAACGAATGAGCTGCAGCGATGTAGATTGCAGATTGGCTGTATAACTCACCGGGAGGTATGTCTTTGCCGTTGCCTGAACCCCCTGTTCTAAGTGTGTCTTCCGCTAATCCATACTGTGATACAGAGATTAGCAAAGGTGGTCATATTAACTCGAATTGAAATCATAATCATGCATGAGTGTAAAGAGACTTGTGAAAGGATTGTCAAAGCCTGACTGACCAGAACGGTTCCAAGGTTGTATATGGCTCGATGGAAATCAAACTGCAGTCTGATTGCCGCCCTAAACTGTATGATATAAAACAAGTGAAAAGGGACAGTAGGAAATCATTAATGGATCTCAAATGAAACGTTTACGTTGGCCAGAAAGACAAGTGCACACCTTGCTAATTGCAGTTCTGACCACCTTTTCCTTCTCTCTGGCAGGCACAATTTGGCTGAGTTCCTAATGGCAAAAAGACAAGGGGATATTATTTCTAAGTTCTTTGGCATTGTAATTTTATATAACAAGCAGGCACATCCTATGTCAGGAATGTCATGGAGATTAACACATGTCACTCAGTTACCTGCAACGCCAGTCCCCAGTTGTTTAAGGCCTGCATAGTTTAAAATATAAGTCAGAAACAGAGAAGATTTACAATACGTAAGTAAACCAGGATAATATATAGTTGACTATGGTATGATTTCGAGCTGTGAAGTTTGTAGTGTTTAGATGAGGACCATTACCTGGGAACTGTTCCAGTTGAGCTGGACAGCCTTTTCATAGTTATTGGTCGCCTGTTATCAGAATTTCGAACTGGCATTAGAAGTTGAGATCAAACCACAATAACTGTAGTTCTCATGATTAGCCTGTTAAAATATGCAAAGATTACTTACGTGTTCCCAAAGTTGTTCAGCTTCCTTGGTACGACCACGCATCTTTGCCCTATCAGAGATAGCAATAGCCCAGTTGTAGTAAGCCTGTCACACAAGTCAAACATAAAAGCTGAAGCCATTTATTTTAACTGAAAATTATGATTTTGCTTGTTTGAATTGCATTTGGCAATGACAAATGAAAAAGAGAGATAATTCTTGAATCGTATGAATACATACATCATAGAGGGTGGGGCAGAGACGGGTTGCCTCATCGTACTTCTTACAAGCTTCCTCAAGCAAATCATCTTTAGATGGTGAAACAGAATCTGCGCTGACATTATCAGCACTTTCCTATGGAGAATTAAGCATTATTTCTTGTCAATCACAAAAAGAGAGAGACCTAAGGGTCCAAGAGAGAGAGATAAGTTTGTCAAGAGTTAACAACAAATAAAGAGAAAAGAGAGACCTGGAGAATAAGTGCCCAGTTGTATAAAGCATCATGATCATCTGGATTACTCTCAATCGCACTAGCATACCTACCAAAAAGAAAAAGAAAAAGAAAAAAGTTGGATCATAACTTAATAACTTCAACAACAGAAAAGTAAAAGATCTAGTTTTCCAATGAGCAATAAGGTCAATCTACAAAATTATTATCTATCGATCAAAGCCTGCCTTTGAAAGCCTAGTTTACAATCTAATACATTGGTCAACCAACAAAAGCCTGATTACATATCTTTGTCTAAAGTGTTAATGGTAACGTACTTGCGGGCAGCAAAAGCAAGAACACGTTGGCGAGATCGGCCTTCTTCATCGTGAACTTGGATGCTGTTAATAAGATCCATTGCAGGATTGTTCCCCGCTGGTTGAGAAGCACTCTCTCGACTGAACAACCAAAGAGAGAGTTAACGAGAAGGCAAAATCTCACAACCAAGGTAGGGACATGATCAAGCTAATTTTGAGACCTGTAGGGAGAAACGGTGCTGCGAGGAGTGCCGTCTCCTTCATCCTCGCTTTTTAGTTCGGTGAGAAGCTCTCTCATTGTAAATGTCCTGTTTCCTTCATCTTCTTTCTTCATTACCGACTGGCTTGTTCCCTCCTTAGACCCGATCTGGTTCTCCTCCGGCAACAGATCCACATGTGTTAACTCCGGCTTAGCATCGATTACAACTGATTCTACTTCCTCCTGCTTCAAACCGTTTACCTCGGATTCTACTTCATCGGTAAGTTTGGGTTCAGTTTGGAGATTGGGATCGTGGTCGGATGATAGTTGTTCCGGGTTCCGATGTTGGTCGGTTTCGGACTCAGATGGTGCCGCTCCATTATTCAATTGATGGTCTTCAATGGTATCCGACATAGTTGCAGTATCTTACAGAGTCCCAGACTGATCTAAATCGAAGAAGAAGAAGAGATCTGTTCTAGTAATAGAGAGCGAAGGAAAGAATGGGGGATATGATTTTTTGAGCAAAAAAGAAAAAGAAAAAGAAAAAGGATGATGGTTTGTTACGTTTACAAACTCTACCTTAGTTAGAGGCTCTCCAACTAATTTAAAGTCAGAACATTCCACCAGGTCTATAGAGCAAGCCGCGGGTTGATTTTGAACGTGCGGTCTTATAACCTTTGTTTTTGTTTTGTACTTGTTATCTAGTTGTAGGTGTTCCAAAAAAAAGCGTTGTTACGTAGCTGTTAAGTCATTTTTTCTCCAAGATTTATACTTGCATTTAGTGGGGGTTATTCATATACAAAACATAAATCAAAATTAGATAAGCATATATATATATATATATATATATATATTTTTTTTTCTTTTTAAATTAATTTGCAAATATGTATATTCTTATGTGTAAGATGACAGTTTTGACATCGACAAATACTGACACACATATTAGAGCACCATTAACAAAAGAATTTCTTAAAAAGATTCTCTACAACATTATATTAATATTTAAAAACAATTTATTAATTTAATTAAATTTTAATTTTTTTTTACTAATTTAACCTGTTATAATCACATATGTGGCAATTAGATATAGAAATTTTTACTTTCAGATATACTTTTTAATTTTAGAATTATAAGTATAGACACTTTTTGTCTGAGGCATATTTTATGTATATATTTTGACCAATATACCCTAAATCTTAACTAAGCAAACTTAACTCTAAACACGTGACTTATTTCACTAAATCAATTTCTAGTAACATGTGATTTCTTCCCAACCCTAGGCTGCTCTAACTCAACTCAATTTCCCCAAGTTTTTGAAACCTAATTATGACTACTATTCAGAAATCTCTCAATACCATTTTAAAAATAAAAAAGCTCCAGATTTATGGATGAAGAACAAGAAACTCAGATCCGTCGTCAAAGCTTCTAATTCGGGAACCTCTAAAAGAGCTCAACCTTCCAACAATCAAGGTTAGTTTCTTCGTCTTAATCAGATTCAAGCTCTTCCTTTTTCATTCATTTTTCGGTTTTATTATCTAATTTCGATCTAGCTCTCTCTCCAATAGGTCACAAACAAACGCTTCCGACGTCTCTTATTTCGGCTACTCCCACCAATCTAGCGTCAAAGAGTTCCTCGTCGTCGTTGGTCGCACTGTAGCCAGTCGTACCCCTCCTTCCTAGCGCTACTCCGTCTAGCACGAAGGTTCCTTCTCCTCCTCCTCCTCTTGGATCTAATTCCCTCCCCCTTTGAATTTTCTGCATATTTTATGATTAAAGTTGCGATTCTAAATCTTTCACACGATTCAAGCTTTGTGATTATGGTTGTTTGATGAATAGAGTACAAGTTTTTATGAGGATCATTCCCCTGTTTGTAGTTTTCTCTTTTTAATTAGGTCTCATTCATTATCTTCAAAAGATCAACCTTTGATCTATATGAACCCAGAAGGAAATGATGTGATAACCCATTTTTTTATCAGGTTCTTGATGAATACCAGAAGAGTTTAGGCGAGAGCTGGAGGTCTGCTAAAGAAGACTCCACTCAGCCTTGGCCTTACTTAGCCGATGCTCTTACCAATTTCCAGGTTTGCAACTGAATGAATATCATGTGGTTCTTAGGTTCCCATCTTTCTTGTTAGAGTACTCAGCCTTTGTTTATTTAAATTGATATTCCATTAGCTTTTGTTAGTGTTGAGATTCATTGATGTTTTGTAGCTTGTTCTATTTCTGGTCACTAGACATTTTAGTATCTGAATCCAAACATCAAGCTTTTCAATGACATGTAGTTATTTCCAATTTCAGTGTGATTGTTTGCTGCAATGTTTGAATAAAAAGACCGACTGCTTCAGCTTTGAATTTCATAGATGCTGCTGATTCTCACTCTTCTGCTTCTGGAAGAACTACCCTTCTTGGAGTTGATGTCTTGGGTCATAAGAAGCATGGACAAGGCCCACATTCTTGGAATCGTGTTGATCCCTCTGGAAGCACTCATGTCATGGAGGTTGACAAGTTCACAATGATCCCTGTGGAAATTCTCATGTCATGGAGGAAGAACTATGATCCTTTGGAAACACTCATGTCATGGATGAAGAAATATGATTCCTCTGGAAATACTCATGTCCACATCCATATTCATTTTTTTTGTTGTCCACAAAATTGTTGTACATACATTTTAGTTTGTGTTAAAATCAAAAAAGGTATATCAAAATGGGTATTGAAATATAGATAAAAAGTATTATAATTTTTAATAGAAACAAATTTTATTTTAAATATTAAAATTTACAAATAACCAAAAAGATACATATTATAAGGGCATAATGGTATAATAGTTATTTTCCCTCAAATTATTCAAATTCACTTTTTTAAAAGAAAAAGTACATATTCTGCAAACCGTAGGATCTCCTTCAGATTTTACAATCCAATGGCCAAATTAAAGTCCACTATCCTACAAATCTAAACTACCTAGATCTCTTAATATGTTAACTAAATATAAAAACACGTAACTAAGGTTGGTTAAAGAAATGAAGGATTTTTTCGTCCACAATTTCTTCTCTCTCATCAATAATGTGCCTCACCAGTGGATTGTGTCCTCTGGTGTAAAGAAAGACACAATTGTGTCTAAATAAGTAAATCACTCTTAGATATATGACATGTTCTTTAGAAGTTCAATACGAGATATTATGCTATCTTTCTCTTAATTTCTTTTATTTTTGTTATTTTCTTTTTAGTCTGACCACTCCATGTAGAAATTTCTGTTGAAGCTGCTCTTACCTCTCCATCTGCAGCTGGTTATTTGATGTCCTATGAGGCAAACCTTTAGTTTGATAGTGACATGTTGAAATTTGTATATTTAGGTTCAAATTCAGATCACTTATTTCCGAATGGTGACGTGTCTTTCTACAACACATTTATCATTCGTGTGACAAACACGACTAAATTTTCAAAATGAAAACAATTAAGTAAGCTACAATGACAAATTCACATCAAAATATTATCACAAATTGACACATAATTTAGTTATGAAGTATATAACATGATATACAATAAAATTCTGATTACATATATATAAGATGGGTTTATTTTCATCATTTAAATATAAGTTTCTAATTAAGTAACATGGTATATTTTGTTTTTTTTTGTGTGTAGTATTCATGATACAAACATTGAATATCTGTGTATTTGGTTTGTATTCATTCTTTTTAAATTATAACGGGTTATATGTAGTTGACTAAATCATTTATACTACATTGCATGTTACAAAAATTTCATATTTAATCTGGATAAATAATAAGTAATCCGGTGAAATTGAACACTATATAGTTATGATTTTCTATAGTCGTAATTTTATATATTAGTTGGTCAACAATACTGGATATACTGTAAAAAATCTGGTTAAATATATTAAAAAAAAATTGTAGTCTTCATGTAAATCTATGTATTTATTCATGTGGTGTGCTATATAAAAAAAATCTATTTGATGTACTATATTTTAAGTTTTTAGTATTTCACGAGATGTATGTTGAATATCCGAATATTGTATTCATTGTCCATTTTGTCCTTCAGACATGTTAACTAATTTTTTCATAGTTAACTAATTTTTTTAGTATCTTTAAAACATAAAACAAAACTTTTGTAATTCTTCACAAACTACATATCATACTCCTACCTAAATCTTATTCTCTTTCTCTCTCTCTCTCTCTCTCCCTCTCTCATCTATTAAAATTTCTCAAATCTTCTCAAACCTAATCACAGCTCTATTTTCTTCTCTGACCTTTATCTGTTGGCTACCACTGCCTCTCTAAAATCCATAAACCCTAAGCCGTGCTCCACCGTGCCTCTCTGTCCAATGATTGGATCTGCTCCACTGAATCCGGCCATCTCTAACTTCACCAGTCTTGGTCTTCTTCCTCCTTTGCATCTCTAAATTTCATAAATGGTGGGATCTCCTCCAAAGATATGATTCAGAAGATCCCACTACTCAATTGGATCTCCTCTGCTTTTCTCTAAAATCAGAACCGAAAAGCCTCTCTCTTGTTTTCTAATACCCAGTCCCAAAGCTTCTCAGTCTTCTACTGTAGAACTAATTAAGCTCTCTGACACAGACATGGGTATGACGAGTAGATTCACTAGGTTCAACTGGATCTGTCTAGGGCAGGAGAAGGTAGAGTGGAACCCTCTTCTTGTGGTACGCAGTCGCCGCTGCTGATACTGACCAACAGTTTGTCTAGTTCGGCGCTGATATTTACATCGTTTAGTGATATATATATATATATGGTTGGTTCCTATCACTGAAAAGTTTGGGTCAAGGAAGAGAACAATTATTAGTGCTCATGTCAAGGTTAATGCCCATATCTTTGTTCTGGTTAGTTTTCGTCTTTATTTCATTGTTGAATGTATTATCATGTATGAATTGATGCAGAAGGGAAGCTTAAATTCTGAGGGGTTAAAGCTTCTAAGACTAGATTTTTAATGGCTAATACTCTTATTACTTGTGAATAAATAAAGTCTGATATTTTCAGATAAACATCAATCTCTTGTGAATTTGTGTGTTATTGGTTGGTATTAATGAACTATCTTCTATGGAATCTCTCTTAATGACCATATTTATAGCCAGCATAGGAATTGAGTTTTGATGCACATAATATTAGTGATTTTTGTAATAGTAATGAAATGTATTGTGGGAGAGATTGTAATTGAGGACCAGTGAAAACATATATGCAATGTAGAGCTGTATCTCATGAAAATTGGAGTGAGGCTTTAGTTGCATCACTCTTTGTTCTGAAGAATGGCAGATTTTGTGAAAATTGATGGAAAATTATTTATTAATTCTATAAATGATCTTACTAATGAACTCTCTAAATATGTGTTTTAATGGCATTGAAGAAATGTTTATGTTATGTCAACACTAATAAACATGATGAATAAATTATTGATTATAAAACATATATATCTACAACTTTGACAACTATAAGGCATATGTTCATACTTAACTCGTTCATAACATACTCTACCATCCACATCCACAATGTGTATATAACACACATGTTCATACTTAACTTGTCCATAATATATATTTCCACAATTTTTTTCATTCACGACTCTACCATCCACATCCACAATTTGTATTTCAATTGTCCCGTCCACATTCATTTGTCCATAAATTTTTATGTATTAATTATCAAAATACATAAAATGGATTTTAATATATAGAAAAAGAATGTTACAAGTATTTATAGCAACCACATTTGTTTAAATATTTTTAAATTTGAAATACAAACAACTAAAGACAAAGGGATGAGTGAATAATATTGAAAACACGTCTTTGGTATCATAATGCGACGTTTGCATGACCTTTGAAGAAAAGCTATGTCCATTATTCAGAGGGGAAAATTACGCAAGTGTATTTTTTTTCCTTGTCATGTTTTTATTCCATCAGATTTTTCCATGCCTACGTTTTTAACGAGGCATTACGTTATACAAGATGAACAATCAAGGGAAAATATTATAGAAGATGATTATTCATCATGGGAACAAATGTCATGCTTTCATCAAATGTGTGTGCTTATCACTATACACATGTCCCCACCAGAGTCGTACTTGATCCAAGAAGATTAAGAATTTGTTTTGGGCCCAACAAGAGATATTTAATGTTTTAGACCAATAATTACCGATGCTCCTCTCTAGTTATGTCGGTAAAGTTTAGGAATGATGTAGTTAGAGGTTCTGGGTTTCGAGCAACTTGGTTACATCTTTTAATATGTTTCATGTTTTATTAGACTATGGTCCAAATTATTTTACTTTGCTTATGTGCAGGAAATTGTCAAGCACGAACATGTTCTCCACCACATGTCTCTTTCATAAATATCTCAGACCTTGACCGATTGTAATGAGTTAAAAATATCATCTCTTCTTTATATGATAGAAACAAACAGAAAAATAAATTTTTTTTTTTTTTTTTGTCATCAACTTAAACAGACTCAAAGTGACTCTGTAAACCACAACAATAACTCAACAGAAAAATTAATAATAACACCACTTTTGTTCATTCTCTCCGTATTACTTTATTTTCTCATCTCACCTCTATTACACAACACTTACATGTTAATCAGAACGCATAGAGAGAATCATATGGAATAGTGATGTTTTGTCATTTTGAATAACTCATAGTTTAATTCAGTACATATAAGACTAATACTAGAGATTCAAACTCTATGTATGTATTTATCATGATATATTAAATTTCATTTGGTAGTATGATATCGGTGAACCATACGACAACCCTTAAAAATATTAGACATATATAAAAACTCTATAAATTAATATTTAATAAATATCATAAATTATTAAAATTCAGTTTCAAACAAGACCCATGTAATATGACATAATTCAAAAACTAATAAGATAACAAAATTTTGACAAGTTTTAGATATATACATAGTTTCATTTAAATCATAAATTAAAATTGATATATATATATATCAATATATGTGTAATATAAATTAAAATTGATATATACATATGTGTGTGTGTTTAATATAAAATGTCGTTATTTATTTTTTTGAAATAATATTTATTAATATTTTTATTTTAATATTTTGGTGTATTTTATCAAATTACCCACTAAAGATGCATATACATACTTTATATTTTAGGATATGAAATTCTAATATTTAAAGTTAAGTAAAAAGTCAATAAATAATTTTTAAATAAATTAATACACAATAAATTTATTTGGACATGAGTTGGGTCGGTTCAACTTATGACATAAATAAGATAATAAGAAAGTATTTTTAGAATATCTTATGTAATTTAAAGTTCCATTAAAATTATAAATTAATAATTTATATATTTACAGTTTATATATGTACAAAAAAATATTGTATTTATTACTTTATATTTACAATGGAGTTCACCTCTCTATTTTCTTAACCTTTCAATTTATATTGATAATATTTAGTAAAATGATAGTTAAAGCCACATTCAAATTATATAAAACATATTTCATATAAAAAGTAATATAATAAAATAATATAAATTATAATAAACCTATTTCACATATATTTTGAGTCGTTTTAGATTTAAGGTTTTAGGATTAAAGTAAACACAAAAGTGTTATTGAGATGAGCAAAATACTCCAGGGTAGTTCTCAAAAAAAAAAAGATGAGGAAAATACTCACCTGCAAAGAAACTTTGGTTTAGGGATTTTGTGAAATTTATAAAACATGTCCTTAATGTTTGTTTGAACAGTTTAATATGAAGAGACATAAAATTCTAGAATCCAAGCATAGATAATTTCTACAACGAAAGTTGATTTATATGTTTTTTTGACAATTGTATTATACTAATTTATAATCAATTATATAATATAACTTATAAATCTAATATTATTAATATAAAATTTGTTTTAAATTTTATAATAAATTATATATAAAATTCAACTGCTTTAACTTTAATTTTGGGAGTTCGAAATAATTTTGCAAATAATAATATAGATTATGATTGTTACTATTTTCTAGTTGCTGCAAAGCTAACAATCTGGATCACTCAAAATAAACTGATATATAATTTGATCATGAATGTATAAATTATAATAATTCTGCATGACTATCAGTAATATTAAATCATATGACTATCGATCGACCTCTGGTTTTAGACATGTGGTCTTGGATCACAACCCCATTGCTATAAACCTCTGCATCGACGACATTAGCATCCTTGCCAAGAACCGTTATGTTAGCTACACGAGCCCAACTTCCAACGGTCGAATCCCATCCTACGATACTATCAGATACACAAGCATGTTCCTTGATCCGAGCACCTCTCATCACAGTGCAACCAAACAATCTCACACCTGATTCAATCACACATCCTGGACCAATCACCACATCAGGTCCTATCACGCATCGTTCTCCTATAACCGCGGTCTCATCCGCCATAACGTTCCCGATTATGTGATCCCCTGAAACTAAAAGTTCCTCTGGCACTTTCTTTCGTAGATAGTCGAGATACATTCTTTGCCCTGTCAAGTAATCTTTTGGCTGACCAATGTCCATCCAAAAACCGGGAAGTACCATGGCGTAAAGATTCTTCTCCGAAGCAATCTTAGGGAATATCTCTTTCTCTACCGAAGTCCGTTTAAGCTCAATCCTGTCCAGCACAGATGGGTTCAAGAGGTATATACCAGCATTAATCTTGTCCCCTACAAAATGTTTGGGTTTCTCGACAAAACTTTCAACTCTTGCTTCTTCTGTAGCTTCCTCCTCCATGACCACAACACCATACTTAGAAGGATCATCTACCTTAGTCACCATGATTGAAGCTTCAGCACCATGATTCTTGTGAAATTCGATCATCTCGAGCAGTGGATATTCACAGATAACATCGCTGTTTAGCACAAAGAAGGGTTTTCCTGATTCATCGACAAGCTTATCACGAGCCAAAGCAAGAGGCCCTGCTGTCCCGAGGGGTTCGGTTTCTTGGGAAAAGGTAATCTTCATCTCAAGCTTCTTCTCATATTCTTTCACAAAATTCAACATGACCTGAAAAATAATAAAATATATGCCAACACAATGAGAATCAATCATTAGGGTAAATAATGAACTAGGAAAATGTAGTACCTCTGGTTGTTGGTGGTTGATAGCTAATACAACTTCAGTGACTCCAGCAGCTTTTAGTGCTTCAATCTGTTTAAATAATCATCATATGAGTGAATGCTTCATCATCATCATTCTATTGAGAAAAAGATACCTCCTACCTGATGTAAAATCATGGGCTTGTTTCCAAAATCAACAAGGGGTTTTGGCGTGCTGAATGTAAGCGGTCTCAATCGAGTTCCGAATCCTCCAACTAGAATAAGAGCTTTCATTCTGCTATAAATAAATAATTTATATATTATATACCCAACAAGAATCTTTTTTTTTTTGGGTAAGAAAATCAACAAGAATTCTGGAAAAAAAAATTATATTACTTGTGCTTGTAATTTAACGTTTTTTTCTTTCCAAGAATTCGGAAAAAATGTTAAATTACAAGCACAAGAGAGTATTTTCAGTTTTCTGAACTAAAACACAAAGGAATATCTGATACAAGCGGAAACTTCTTCTGCTATGTCATCTGTCACAAACTAACTAGAGAGATTCAGACCCTAAAGTAAATCTATTAAAAAAAAAAAAAAATTCAACGACAAGAAGAACGAAGAAGAAAAACTCTCCTGAGATTTTGAGGACGTAGTCACAGATCTGGAGGAAGAAGTCTTTCTGTCTATTGAATCGTTTTGACAATGCGGCCCTGATATGTACGTTTACTAGGAATACGATGATCATTTAGCCAAAACATTATGTACTTTATAAAGACAAGAATATTCCAATTAAATAAAATAAGATTTTAAAAATCTTATTTTCTATAATTTGTCAGCTTAGGAATAAAATCTAAGTAGATTTACTAGAGCTTTTCATTGGGTGACCCTATTTAGTCATATCCCTTATGTCTATAACTATACTAGTTATAATCTAAGTAGATTAACTAGAGTTTTTCATTGGGTGAGCCTATTTAGTCATATCTAATATGATTCAAACAATACTAGTTATAATTTAACCCCCCCCCCCACCCAAAAAATCTAAATTTTTCTGTATATTTATTTCTAAACAAAAAGAAATATTTGTTTCCTTTTAGAAGAAGATTTACATCCATCTGTGGTTTTCTTTTCTTATATTGCTATACATGAAGTTTTGTGACTACTAATTTTAAATCTACTTCGAATCATCTATCCCGGTTTCGTTTCTAGAATTTCGTCGGTAAATTTAGGTACGGGTCAGAGCTGGACTTGTGAGCATTAAATTAAAAAAATTATAATGGGATCTTATACTTTATGGAATTCTTACTTAATTTTCCATTGTATGTATGTATGTATGTATGTTTTATGTATTGTACTAGGATAAGACCTGCGCCTTGCGCAGGGTGAATATATGTAATTAAAATATAAAATTTTAATATTCACAAATTTAAAATTTACATATGATTTTTCTTGTATGTATTTGAAATTTTAGAATTTTGGAATTTTTATATAATTATCTATACGTATGATCAAAAACAATTTTAATTAGAAATGTAAATCAAATCTTAGAAT